AATAACATTTGAGATCTAAATTCTAGAAACTAAGGCGGAGGGTCACATTTGTGTTTGGTCCTGTAAAATTTATAGACTGAGTTTCCAATTCCTCAGTAATTGGGAGAGAAGTCAGACCAGATTAACACAAAATAGTAGTTGAAAACAGTTTTTGGGTTGAGTATATTTCCTCCTTATATCTTCTTCTTTAATTTTATTTGCAGATTCCGTTGCAGACACTCTGGATGGATAATACCGTTAAACTTCTGGATCTGGTGGAAGTTAACAGTTCCATCCTTGCTGGTACTAGCCTTTGAATAGCTAACATGGAACACGTTTTCGCTATAGTCGGTTTGAAAATGAGCATGTTTTACTGTAGATCCCATTTATTAAAACTAAGGGTTGTTTTAGTTTGTTTCAGTTAGGTAATGATAATACTCAACATCCATTTGTTGGTTTAGTCCTTGCGGTGTTCATTCACAGGCATTTTCTGATTTCCTCAGGCGGAGCAGTGTACTATCCGTTTCAAGCTCTGTGACTTCCTACGTTAAGGTTTTCAGGGAGTGTACAATGACTTGGTTAATTTCTTTCTTCTGCATGTCATAATGAGAATCTCTTGGCAGCTCAGGGAGAATCTTAGACCCGCATGGAGCATTCAGGCTGGGCCAGCCACAGGTTCATTCTAAGACCCATTGGTACCCTCCCAACGTGGTGGTCTTAAGGAGTGTGAACCACAGAGGGAACTGGTCTAATTCAGCATTAGTCCTGGAGTTCTCCAGGAATCTGGGAATTTGGATGGATTTGTTTGGTCAAGGGTGGAAGGGCCAACTTAGAACCTAACCCTCCTGTGTATCTCTCCATTGGTGTATAGATATTTCTCCAAAATGGTCAAAACTTCTAGATTAAACATTTCAGACTGATCACTGGGAGACTGGTTAAGAGCTTCTTAGGTGTATGGAAAGCTTTCCTTTGGGTTCATGATGGTCACAGAGCACCTTGGCTTGGTCCTAAGTCTTGAATTACAAAGTCAGGGCATCCATTCCAAACCAAACCTAACCCGTTGCTGTCGAGCTGATTCCGACTCAGAGACCCTATAGGACAGAGTAGAACTGCCCCATAGGGTTTGCAGGGTGGATCTTGGATTTGGTTACCTTTTGGTTAGCAGCTAAGCTCTTAACCACTGTGCCACCAGGGCTCCAAGGCATCCGTAGATGTGTCTGCTGTTAGTACTGCCTCCCAGGATGTTTTTTGTTTTTTAAGAAGCATCGTGAAGTTGTATAATTATTTGTCTCTCTTACTATTATTTTTATTTTTTAGATCCAAAATTAACAGGACAGGCTGTTATTCCAGGATCACTAATGTACCATAAACAGTCACAAATGCTGCTGGTTTCTTGCAAGGTACATTTTCCTTTAGTTTTGCGTTGTCATACTTGCTTACTGAGTTTATAGTTTACATCTTTATCATTTTCTTGATTAGGACTTCAACCAACTGCCTGTTCATCAGATTGGGCCAGTAGACATTTTACTTTTCTTAAGAAATAGTAGAATTTCTAATGCAGATCAAAACTAAATGAGATATCATCTCACCCCAGCAAGGCTAGCATTGATCCAAAAAACACAAAATAATAAATGCT